CATGCCCATGCACTCTGCCCGGGCCAGATCTGGAAATCTGTTTCATCAAGAAAAATGCAAAAAAGCCCCTATCAGAGCCTTTTCCACCCATGGAGAGGGGCTGGAACGGGGGTCGTCCCACAGTTACTAAAAAAACAGACATGCCCCCCCCCCACAAAGGGGGCAGTAAAGCAACAGCAAAAAACACAGACCCAATGCACTAAATCCATATCTAAAAATCTTTGAAAAAGGGGCCTAAGAAGCAAGTCACCACCCTCTAAAACCCCTCAGTTACCAACCCAGGGCAACATGGGTTTAGAAAGGTCGTCCTGTTTTGTCTCAAAAAATTTGGTCACACGACAAGGTCCTAAATGCCTAGAAGACAAAAAAAGCAGATGTAATTATACAGACTTGCAAAGCCTTCAACAAGTGTGACCAGGGTAAAAGCGCACAAAAAGCGTGCTAAAAGGAATAACGGGGGAAAATCGGTCGATGGATTATAATTTCCTCCTAACAGAACACAGAGAGTAGTCATCAACAGGTAAAGTCCGAGGGATACGGTGAAAAGCTTGTTCCACAAGGGACAGTACTCGCTCCCATCTTTTCCCCTCCTCATATCCGACATGCAAGGATGTCAGCCACAGCACCCTGTCTTCCTTTGCGGGTGACACCCGAATCTGCATGACCAGTGTCTTCCATTGCAGACACTGCAAAGCTCCAGGCGGACATCAACCAAATCTTTCAGTGGGCTGCAGAAAACAATATGAAGTTCAACGATGAGAAATTTCAATTACTCAGATATGGTAAACATGAGGAAATTAAATCTTCATCAAGTACAAAACAAATTCTGGCCACAAATAGAGCGAAACACCAACGTCAAGACCTGGGAGTGATCATGTCGGAGGATCTCACCTTCAAGGACCATAACATTTTATCAATCGCATCTGCTAGAAAAATGACAGGATGGATAATGAGAACCTTCAAAACTAGGGAGGCCAAGCCCATATGACACTCTTCAGGTCACTTGTTCTATCTAGGCTGGAATATTGCTGCACACTAACAGCACCTTTCAAGGCAGGTGAAATTGCTGACCTAGAAAATGTACAGAGAACCTTCACGGCACGCATAACGGAGATAAAACACCTCAATTACTGGGAGCGCTTGAGGTTCCTAAACCTGTATTCCCTGGAACGCAGGAGGGAGAGATACATGATTATATACACCTGGAAAATCCTAGAGGGACTAGTACCGAACTTGCACACGAAAATCACTCACTACGAAAGCAAAAGACTTGGCAGACGATGCAACATCCCCCCAATGAAAAGCAGGGGTGTCACTAGCACGTTAAGAGACCATACAATAAGTGTCAGGGGCCCGAGACTGTTCAACTGCCTCCCAGCACACATAAGAGGGATTACCAACAGACCCCTGGCAGTCTTCAAGCTGGCACTGGACAAGCACCTAAAGTCAGTTCCTGATCAGCCGGGCTGTGGCTCGTACGTTGGTTTGCGTGCAGCCAGCAGCAACAGCCTGGTTGATCAGGCTCTGATCCACCAGGAGGCCTGGTCACAGACCGGGCCGCGGGGGCGTTGATCCCCGGAACTCTCTCCAGGTAAACTCCATGTCACCCTGCCTCGGTGGGAGACGGCCGACTTGTTGAAAAAAAAAAAACTGAGTTGCGGCAGGACTCACTCACTCTCTCTCTCTCACTCTCTCTCTCTCTCTCTCTCACTCACTCACTCACTCATTCATCAACCAAACAATTGCTGCAACACATGGATGCCTGGCAAACCTAAGAACAGCGTTGAGACACTTCAGTCAGGAGTCATTCAAGACACTACGTCAGGCCCATATTGGAGTATACTGCACCAGTTTGGAACCCACACCTGGTCAAGCACGTCAAGAAATTAGAGAAAGTGCAAAGGTTTGCAACAAGACTAGTCCTGGAGCTAAGGGGAATGTCCTATGAGGAGAGGTTAAGGGAAATCAACCTGACAACACTGAAGGACAGGAGGGATAGAGGGGATATGATAATGACATAAGATACTGGGAGGAAATAACTAGGTGGATAGGGACAGAATGTTCCCGAGATGTGACACAGCAACAAGGGCTCACAATTGGAAGTTGAAAACTCAGATGAGTTACAGGGATGTTAGGAAGTATCTTTTTTAGCCACGAAGTTGTCTGAAAGTGGAACAATCTGGAGAGTGATATAGTGTAGGCAGGATCTATACATAGCTTTAACAAGAGGTATGATAAAGCTCAAGGAGCAGGGAGAGAGTGGACCTAGTAGTGACTAGCAAAGAAGTGGACCATGAGCTGTGACTCAACCCCTGCAACCACAACTAAGTAAGCACACATAACAATAATTATTATAATAGTAGGGCTGTATAGCCCTTGTGGCTTAGCGCTTCTTTTTGATTATAATAATAATAATAATTATAATAGTAGTAATAACGATAATAATATAATAACAACAACAATAATAACGATAATAATAATAATAATAATAATAATAATAATAATAATAATAATAAAATCCATTCTCAAATCATTCTCAAATCATTCTCAAATCCATAAATACAAAACACCAATATGAAAAACAGTACAGAATGGGTCACATAACCCAGAGACCAAACAAAACGTTACTCGTCAATCCTAACCCTGATAAGAAGGGCAAAAAAATTGTATTATGAGAACAGTTTAAATCCAATTACGAGGTGATAAAAAAAAGACTGGAAAAACCCTATCAAAAATTTCTGGGAACAAAAAAGATATCACGAATAGCGAAATAAAATTAGCAAAAACAGATGAACCCCAACTCCCACCAACAGAAACAGCAAACAGACTCAATGATTTTTCTCCACTATAGGCAAAACCTTGCCAATAAAATCCCAAGCTCAGATACCCCACCAAATGACTACATCACCGGCAACTACCCGAACACACTGTTCCCAGCTCCGACTAACCCCTACGAAGTCTCCTTATTATCAACGCACTAAAAAACAAAGGGAGGAGATTTAAATACCTTACCACCCCTTATTACAAAAAAGTGTCACAAGTGCTATCACCAATCATTGCAACACTCTTTAACAAATCCATTGAAACTCCACCTTCCCCACAGTACTCAAAATAGCAAGGGTCACCCCGATCCCTAAAGGAGGAGACCAAACAGAGTTGAATAACTATAGGCCAATATCCAAATTACACCCTCTCTCAAAAATCTTCGAAAAATTAATTTATAACGAATCTACTCCTACCTTATCTCCCAAAAAAATACTCAACCCCTGCCAATTTGGATTCAGGCCTAATAAAATACTAATGATGCTATTATACACATGCTAGAACATATATACACTGCAATAGAGAAAAAAGAAGTCCCACTGGGGATCTTCATTGACTTACGTAAAGCTTTTGATACAGTTGACCATGACTTGCTCCACGTAAAATTGTCACACTATGGTATAAGAGGGCACTCCCTCAAGTCTTACCTCAGCAACAGAAGCCAATATGTGTACGCAAATGGGGCAAACTCTTCTGCACAACCAATTACAGTTGGTGTCCCACAGGGAAGTGTCCTTGGCCCTCTTCTCTTTCTCCTCTGTATAGCCCTTGTGGCTTAGCGCTTCTTTTTGATTATAATAATAATAATTCTCTTTCTCCTATACATAAATGACCTTCCAAATGCTTCGCAATTACTCAAACCCACACTATTTGCAGATGACACTACATACGTCTTCTCCCACCCGAGCCCAGTCACGCTAGCCAATACTGTAAATACCGAATTACAGAAAATATCTACCTGGATGAGGACTAACAAACTTACACTAAACATTGACAAAACCTACTTCATTCAGTTTGGTAACAGAGCTACAGATGTCCCTCTTAACATAATGATAAATGGATTACCTATCACAAAACTAACAGAGGGAAAATTCTTAGGAATCCACCTTGATAATAGACTCAAATTTCATACACATATACATCAAATTTCTAAGAAAATTTCCAAGACTGTAGGCATACTATCGAAGATACGGTACTATGTTCCACAGTCAGCCCTCCTGGCCCTATATCACTCTCTTATTTACCCCTATCTCACCTATGGAATTTGTGCATGGGGCTCAACAACAATATAACCATCTCAGACCACTAATTACCCAACAAAAGGCTGCAGTTAGAATGATAACAAATTCTCACTACAGGCAGCACACTCCACCAATATTCAATACACTAAACCTACTCACCATACAAAACATCCATACTTATTACTGCACCTATTACATACATAGAACACTTAACTCTGATATTAACCCTACCCTCAAACATCTCCTTGCCAACCTCAACAGAACACATGACCATAACACAAGGCACAGATCACTCTTTGATGTTCCTCGTGTCCATCTCACACTATGCAAAAACTCAATGCACATAAAAGGCCCTAAAATCTGGAATTCATTACCTGTAAATATAAAAGAAACACTACCTGTTTATAAATTCAAGTCTCTTCTCAAAGATTACTTACTCACCCAAAACCAAATAAATACTGAATAACTGAACATTATAAATTGTATATCTTAAATGTTTCTCACAATTATATCACATAAATGTTAAACCTAAAACCCAATCTAACTTTATTATTTTTTAAATACACTACCTAACAGAATCACTACCTAACTGAATGCAACCATATGACCTGTCTTTGTAATACTCACTTGTGCTTTATAGTTATCTGTTTACATTAATGTTTTATCACTGATTTCATCATTGCTTAGTAGCAGCGCTGTATAGTCCTTGTGGCTTAGCGCTTCTTTTTGATTATAATAATAATAATAATCATTGCTTAGTTAATCTTAAGTTAATTTTAAGCCAGCCCGTAATGCTATGCATAGTATAAGTGGCTTTGGCATACTGCTCTTATCTGTATTTTTTTTGTACCTCTGTATGTGTGCACAAATTGGAAATAAATAAATAAATAAATAAATAATAATAATAATAATAATAATAACAATAAAAATATAGGAGTGGTGATGCCATCTGTCGGCGTGTTGGGGAGTTAGCTGCCACAACAAACACAGGTCATTCTCCCTCACTCCCTCCATCACTTCTCCCTGGTTCTCCCTCACCATGGCCTCCAAGAACCTCACTCACATCTTCATGATCATGAGGGACAAGGCCATCCAGAGGAGGAACATGTACAAGCGTGTGGAGGTGAGCGAGACCAGTGTCGTGGCACAACCTGCTGCTCATCACCCTTGATACATCATAGACTTAGTCACTGTAGCTTGATACATCATAGACTTAGTCACTGTAGCTTGATACATCATAGACTTAGTCACTGTAGCTTGATACATCATAGACTTAGTCACTGTAGCTTGATGCATCATAGACTTAGTCACCGTAGCTTGATACATCATAGACTTAGTCACTGTAAGCTTGATACATCATAGACTTAGTCACTGTAGCTTGATGCATCATAGACTTAGTCACCGTAGCTTGATACATCATAGACTTAGTCACTGTAGCTTGATACATCATAGACTTAGTCACTGTAGCTTGATACATCATAGACTTAGTCACTGTAGCTTGATACATCATAGACTTAGTCACTGTAGCTTGATACATCATAGACTTAGTCACCGTAGCTTGATACATCATAGACTTAGTCACCGTAGCTTGATACATCATAGACTTAGTCACTGTAGTTTCATACATCATAGACTTAGTCACTGTAGTTTCATACATCATAGACTTAGTCACTGTAGTTTCATACATCATAGACTTAGTCACCGTAGCTTGATACATCATAGACTTAGTCACTGTAGTTTCATACATCATAGACTTAGTCACCGTAGCTTGATACATCATAGACTTAGTCACCGTAGCTTGATACATCATAGACTTAGTCACCGTAGCTTGATACATCATAGACTTAGTCACTGTAGTTTCATACATCATAGACTTAGTCACCGTAGCTTGATACATCATAGACTTAGTCACCGTAGCTTGATAGATGATAGATTTAGTCACCGTAGCTTGATAGATGATAGATTTAGTCACCGTAGCTTGATAGATGTTGATTTAGGCACCCTAGCTTTATAGGAAAAGACTTAGTTACGGGAGCTGATAGAAGATAGATTTTGGGCACCGTTTGCTTGATAGAAAAATAATTTAGTCACCGTTTTGCTATTAGAGGATAGACCTTTGTAAACGTAGGGTTTATACATCAAGACTTAGTTTACTTAGTTTTATACCCTCATTTGAAAATCCTTAGCTTGATAATCCTTGACAAAGTCACTGTAGTTTCCCTCATCAAAAACTTATCCGGGAGTTAATTTCATAGATTTTGTCACGTAGTTTTTAAACATCTAGACCCTTTGTCCCCCCGTTTGTTTCATACTTTATAACTTAGTCACCCTAGCCCTTTTTTATACATTTATTTGACTTGGTCACTGTAGCTTGAAAAGATGAAAATTTGTATGTTAAAACTTGATAATTTATAGTTTTGTTTACCCTAGGGTTTTATAGGGTGATGATTTAGGCCCCCCTAGCTTGAAAGAGGATAGATTTTGTCCCCCGTAGTTGGGGTAGATGATAGATTTTTGTTTCCGTAGTTGATAGATGAAAAGATTTAGTACCGAGCTTGATAGTTTTATAGATTTGTCACCGTAGCTTGATAGTTATAGATTTAGTCATGTAGCTTTATAGATGATAAAATTTAGTCACCTGGGGTGCCGGTGTAAATGTAATTGGGGGCCCTTTGATGAACTTTTTATAGAAAGGGGATTAAATTTTAAAAAAAATAATTTTAAAAAAAGAGGTTTAAAAAGTATCAAGATTTTTTGTGGGCGAAATGACAGTAGTTTGTTGGATATGTTTGGTAAGGGTAAAAAATGTTTTGGTTAAATTTTGGAAAGACATGTTTAAGGGGGCCACAGTTTTTATCAAACACTTTCTAGGTAGCTCACTGAAAAGTAAAAGGAGATGGGTACAAGGGGGAATTTGAAGCCTCAGGGGAAAGAGAGGTGAAAGGTTTTTTTTTAAACTAAAAGAGGAGGCCCGTTAGGGGTTTAAATATAAACCCGCATTGGAGGTAGATGGGCCCAATGGAGGCCTAGGCCCCCGGGGTTTTGAAGAGGGAAGGGGTAGGTTTAAAAATGTAATTTAGGAGATGTTCAGCAGAAGTTTGTGGGGTTCAGGAAAGTTTGGGGGCGGGGGGAAGAGGATGATTGGTGGAAAGGGTATGTAAAAGAGTAGTAAGGGGGAAAAAGTTAGCATATGAGAATTTTTACAAAAATTTGAAAATGGGCAAGGGGGGAAGAGTATATTTGGGGAAAAAAAGAGAGGTTAAGAGAGTGGTGAAACAATGAAAAAGAGTGCAAAAGGTTAGAGGGGTGAGGGGGTTTAACCCCAAATTTTGTTTTTAAAATTTAAAAAAAAGTTTTGGAGTGAGATTAACAAATTAAAGGGAACCAGAGAACCCAAAAGGATTTGTTCCCGTTAAAAAAAAAAGAGGGTTTTATTTAAAAAGGGGGTTTGAGGTTTTGGGAAAATGGAAAGGGGAAAATTTTGGAGGAAATTTTTAAATGTTTATGAAATTGGGAAAACGTGATTTCATGTTTGGCAAAGGGGGGAAAAAACCCTCCCTTTTAGGAGGGAGGAAGAGCCCGTTGGGGGGTGGGGGAAGTTCCCTGGGGGCAGAGGTTTAAAAAGAAAGGGGGAAAAGGGGAAACCCGGGGTTTTATGGGATAAAGAAGAAATGTTAAAACAGGTGGGGGGTTTTAGTTTTTTGGGGTGGTTGGGGGAATTATTTTAATTTTAAAAGTATGGAAAGGGTAAGGTCCTAAGGGGTTGGCAGAGGCATTCCCTAGGTTTCCCTTTTTGTAAAAGGGAAAGGGGACCCAAAAGGGGAGGGAAAAATTATAGGGGGATAAGTCCCGGTTTTAGTTTACCTGGTTTTTGTGTAAGGAAAAGTTAAATTTTTGAAAGAATAAGAGTAAGAAAGGAAAATAGGATAGCAATGAACAAAGGGGGGCTTTTGGGAAGGTAGGGGGGGTGTGGACCAGGTGTTTTAAAGTGAAACTTTTAAGGGGAACAGTTTTAGTTTAAACTAAAGAGGTTTTTTGTGGGATTTTTTGGAAATTTTGGGGGAAAGGGGTAGACGGGGGGGATAGGGGGGCCCAAAGTGGGGAAAATGTTGAAATTTTATGGTGTAGGAGGTAGGTTACTGAAAGCGTGAAGAGTTTTTTTCGAGGAGTGAGGCTCAAGTTTGAGTATGTTGGAAAGAGGGGAAAAATTTCCCATAAAATTTGGGGCCCTTTGGGCAAAAGGGTGTGTGGGTGTCACCGGGTTGTTTAATATATTTATAGATGGGGGGTTTAAGGGGAAAATAAAATGCGAGGGTCTTGGCAAGGGCCCGGGGGTTAAAAAGAATAAAATCACACCTTTAAAATGGGGGTTGTCGCAGTTGCTCTTTTCTATGACAAATGTGCTCTTGGGAGATTCTGAAGAGAAAGATGCGGGGATTGGTGGATGAATTTGGTAGGGGTTTTGGGAAAAGAAGGGAAAAATTTAAAAATGGGAAAAAAGGGAAAAAGTAAGGTTATGGGTTAAAAAAAAAGAATTAGGGGAGAAAGGGTTGGGAAAACAGTTGGAGGGAGAGAGTAGGGGGGGTGAATGTATTCAGATATTTTTGGGGGTGGGGCTTTTCAGCAGATGGGTCATGAAAGATGAAAGGGGAAACATTAGAATTTATAGGGGGAAAAAGGGTGAGTGGTGCACTTTGGATCTGTGGAGACAAAAAAACTTTGTCCTTAAGGGAAAGAGGGGGAAAGTTTGGGGTATAATTTTACCAAAAGCTCCCTTTTATGGGGGGGAAACCCTGGGTGATGAATGTTGCCGCGAAAGGGGAAGGGTGGGGGCCGTGGAGATGTCATGTTTTTGAGGGCCAAGGGGTGGTGTGAATTTAATGCAGAAATTCGTAGTTTTTTGGAAAGTAGGGGGGGGTGGGGATTAAACCCCAAAAATGTTGTCCCCGAGGGGTGAGGAAGGGTTTTTTTGAGGGGGTTTGGAATGTTAAAAGGGTTTTGGAAACGAAACAGAATGCCTTTAAGAGTGTAAACAGTCTGTAGTTGGGGAAAGGGAAGGGGGGGGGCTAGGGGTCGGGGGAAAGGGAAAAGGGTTGGGGGGAGGGGGGGGGGAAAAAGGGGGTTTTGTGTGCGGGGGGGCTTTGGGCCCTTCCAAACAGGCATGCGTGAGCGTGTTTTTATAGGAGTGAATTTTGGGGCAAAAGGTTTTTAAACTTGGTGCTGTTGGGGGTGTGAGCAAAGAAAATTTTTGAAGGGGGTTTAAGGAAAATGGCAGGCCCGGGCTTGGGGCCTGGAGATGGGGAAATTTCCGGCCCGCAAATCTTGGGAAAGGGGGGGTGTTAATGTTTTCAGTTTTAAAAAATGAGGTTTTTTTACCCCCTGGGAAGAAGTGTGGGGTGAATGAGGGGAAGTTTTTTTTTTTTTCGGGCCCACCCTCCTTTGGGGGGGAATCTCCAGTGTAAAATTTAAAAAAAAAATAATAATAGCTTATAGATGAAGTTTTTAGTCCCGAGCTTGATAGATGATGATTTGTCACTGGTTTGATAGATGAAATTTTTAGTCACCGAGTTTGATAAAATTTAAGTCACCGTAGCTTGATAATGAAGATTTGTCCCCGTAGTTTGATAGATGAAGATTTAAGTCCCCAAGCTTGAAAAATGAAAATTTTAAAAAGTCACCGTAGCTATAGAGAGATTTAAGTCACCGTACTTGATAATGATAGATTTAAGTCCCGTAGCTGTAGATATAGATTTAAGTCACCGTAGTTTGATAGAGAAATTTAGTCACCATATTTGATAGATGTTGATTTAAGTCACCTAGTTTGATAAAAAAGATTAAGTCACCGTACTTTTTTAATGATAGTTTTAAGTCACCATAGTTTTGTGTTGATAGATTTAAGCACCGTAGTTTGTAGATGAAAATTTAAGTCACTGTAGCTTGATAATGATAATTTAAGTCACCGTGCTTGAAATTATAGTTTTTAAATCCCGAGCTTGATAGATAAAAATTTTTTACACCATACTTGATAATTTTAATTTTAAGTCCCGAGCTTGATAAATGATAGATTTAAGTCACCGAGCTTAAGATATGATTTTAAGCACAGTACTTGAGACATAATGTTTTAAAACTCATCGAAACTTGATAATTAGAGTTACCAAGGTTGAAAGTTTTAAAAGTCACTGTACTTTTATAATATTCCCCTTAGCTTTTTAGTGATAAAATTAAGTCCCCTTAGCCAATAGATAATTTAAGTCACCATAGCCTCATAGATGATAGATTATTCCCTTAGCGATTTTTGTATTTTTTTACAAAAAAAAGGTTTAAAAAAATCGAAGTAATTTTTTCAGGAAACACAAATAAGCAAAGTTATTACATAGCAGCATATGTGTAGAGAACCGGGATAACCCAAAAAAGTAAAACAAAGTGACTTATTTCCATCTGCAAGAAAACCCTAGTTTTCTGAAATTCTTCACTTTACAAAACTGATTTCATATTCTCCCCAAAATTTTTATATGTTTTAGAGGAAATGATACTTTTAATGATTGAAGTTTGGGTTGTAAATGTTTAAGAAAGAGGAAGCGGGAAACCGGGAAATGTCTTTCTGAGGCAATCGATGGGAATGTTATGGAGAATGCAAGTTTGGATATTAGAAGATGTGGGGTTAAAAAAAGTATTACCCAGATTGAGGGAGCTTTGAGGGGGGTTTGGGCACTTAGGGGGGATGAAGCAAAATAGGGACTTGGTGGATGTAAAATATGAGGGGAGGGAAGGTGGGTAGGGGGTTTCCTGGGAAAGGTTGGAGGGAGAGGTAAAGAGGTTTTGTATCCACAGGCATCATTGTGAAATTTTTTTAAGGTTAAAAAAAAGATGTTTTTAAATTTTAAAGCATATTTAAGTTTTTTTAGGCTTTTTATTTCATTACCACAGTCTGTTGGTATTGTATTTTTGTAGGGCCCACCCCCTCTGGAGGGGGAACTTGGAAGCAACAGGTTTTTTGGATAAAACAATATTTTGAAGGGCATTTAAAAAAAACCTGCAACACAGATTAGGGCAAACTGTATTTTTACTACACTTTATTTTGAAGGCTATTCCGATCAAGTTCTCTGGTGCACACAAGAGCTAGGAAGGGCCCTTTGGGTGGAAAAGGGGGAATGGATTTTCCGACTGGGCAGGGATGGTAGAGGAAGTTCAGTACAATATCATCACACTGAAAGAAAAGACAAAGCGAGTGGCAGCCCTGCAGAGCTACTTGGTAAGGCGGCCTTCACTGGATGACAATACAGAGGAAGAACGGCAGTTGACGGCACACAACAATGAAATTAGACGGGTTTGTATGTATTTTTTTTTGTAAATTTTTTTTTAGCATTATTTTATTTTTATTTTATTAACACATCAGCCTTCTCCCACGAATGCAGGGTGCCCCCAAAAAGAAAAACTTTCATCACCATTCACTCCATCACTGTCTTGCCAGAGGTGCACTTACACTACTTTATAAAACTGCACATTAAGCCCCCTTCAAGTGCAAAATGCACTTCCCATTCCGGACTCAAGCCCACCTGCCGGTTTCCCTGACTCCCTTTCAAAAATTTTAAAACCCCTGCTACACTCGACAGCATGTAAAACCCCCTAAAAACCTTTTGTCTCCATTTGCCCTTCTAAATGCTAAGCATGCTTCCGGGAAATCAAAGCCCCTTGCCCAAAACCTCCTTTACGTTCTTCCTCCCAACCTTTCCCAGCCAACCCCCACCCCACCTTTCCTCCCCTACAGATTTATTTTTTATTTATTTTTGAAATTTAGCATACATCAGAGGTACAAAAAAAAAAAGGTAAGAGCAGCATGCCAAAGCCCCATATGCATAGCATACGGGCGCTTAAAAATTAATTAAGAATAAATAAGCAAAGATGAAATCATGATAAACTTAAAGTAAACAGATAAAATATAAAAATCAAAAAAGAGTATTACAAAGAAAGGTCTATGGGCATGCATTTCTGTTTTATTCGTAAATGGAGTATTCTGTTTTGGTAATGTATTAAAAAAAAATAAAAAGTTAGGTTTAACATTTGTGTGATTAATTTTGAGAACATTTTGGATTAAATTTTATGGTTCATTATTTAGTATTTTTTGGTTTTGGGTGAGTAAGTGAACTTTGAGAAAGACGAAATTTAAAAAACAGGGAGTGTTTCTTTTATATTTACGGAATGAATTCCAGATTTTTTGGCCTTTTTTTGTGCTTGAGTTTTTGCATAGCGTGAGATGGCACGAGGAACTCAAAAAGTGACTTCCTTGTATTTGGTATGTGTTCTGTTGAGGGTTTGGGAAAGGGGAGTTTTGAGGGGGGGTTAATATCAGAGTTAAATGTTCATGTATTAAAAATGCAATAATAAGTATGGAGTTTTGTAGGTGGTAGGTTGAGTGTTTGAATATTGGGGGAGTGTGCTGTGTAGTGAGAAAATTTTTATTCTAACTGCAGCCTTTTGTTGGGTAATTTTGGTCTGAGATGGTTAGTTTTTTTGAGCCCCATGCACAAATTTTATAGGGGAGAAGGGGAAAAAGAAGTGAAAAGGGCCCGGAGGGTGACTGGGAAAAGTACCTATCTTTGTATCCCCCAGTTTGGAAATTTTCTTAAAATTTGTTGTATTGTGTATGAAATTTGAGTTATTACGGGTGGATCCTAAATTTTCCCTCGTTTTGCTTTTTGATAGGGGATCCGTTTTAAACGTTTGTTTAAAAGGGACTCTGTAGCTTGCAAAACCCAAACTGAATGAAGTAGGTTTTTTTTTAAAGTTTTTAAATTTTTTGCCCCATAGGTAGATATTTTCTGTAATTCGGGGTTTACAGATTGGGTACGTGACTGGGCTTGGGGGGGGAGAAAACATGTGGTGTCATCTGCAAAAAAATGTGGGTTTGAGTAATTGCAAGCATTTGGTGGGCATTTTGTATAGGAGAAAAAGAAAAGGGCCAAGGACACTTCCTGTGGGCACCCAAATGTAATTTTTTGTGCGGAAGAGCTTTCCCAGTGCGTACACATATTGGCTCTGTTGTGAGAAAAAAATTTAGGATTGAGGAAGTGCCCTCTAATACCATGTGTGACAATTTTAGTGGACGTCATGGGCAACTGTATCAAAAGCTTTACTAACAATAAAAACCCCAGGGGACTTTTTTTTCCTATTGCAGGTACATGTATAATGTTTAGCATGGTTTTAATAGCACATTAGTATTTTTATTAACCTGAACCAAATTGGCAGGGGGTTGGGAAAGTTTTGGGGGGATGAGGAGGAGTAGATTTGTTTATGAATTAATTTTTTTGAAGATTTTTGAAGGGTGTAAATTGGATATTGGCCTTAGTTTTTTCAACCTGTTTTGGTCTCCTCCTTTTTTGGGTCGGGGGGACCCTTGCTTTTTGGAATTAGGGGGGGTGGAGGATTTAATGGATTTGTTAAAAATTTTGCAAGATTGGTGATAGTACTTGTGCGCTTTTTTGTATAAAAGGGGGGTAAGGTATTTTTAAAACTCCCGCCTTGTTTTTCAGTGCATTTATAAAAGGGAGATCGATGGGGAGTCGGAGCTGGAACAGTGGTTCGGTAGTTGCCTGAGTATCATTTTTTGGGTATTGGCTTGGGTATTATTGGCAAGGTTTTGACCTATATGGAGAAAAATCATTGGTCGTTTGCTGTTTCTGTTTTATGGGAGTTGGGGTTCATCTGATTTTTTTATTTTATTTTGATATGTGTTGGGCCAGAGTGGTAAGTAGGAAACACATTCGTAACCTTGTGGTTTTTTTACGTTGGTAGCAAAATGCGTTACTCATTTTTTTGTAAATTCCGTAAGTGGGTCCGGTCTTTCAGGAGATTTTAAATTGAAGTTTCCTGAGAGTAGTAAGTGACTTTGTTCTGCGGCATCAGTTATCATGCTTCCTAGGTTTTGACTAAATTTGGGTAATGTTTGATTGTGGAAATTTTGTAATGTTTTTCACGTGAGAGGGGTTTTTTAGGTATTTGAATTTGAATTTTGCTATTATTTTCCCCATTTTATCCTTTTTGCAATATTTGTGTAATTCTTTGGGTTTTAGTAGTATTGCTGTGCCACCCCCCTTTTTTGGTCTTGCCTACATTGGATGGCTGTGTAACCCCGGAATGGCATAGACTCTGTATATCAGCTTTCCCGGTTCAGTTGTGTAATGATGGACATATGGCATGCAAGGGAATTTAAATGCTAGGAGGTCTCATAAAGTTGCTTAAAACCCTTTTAGGGTCGACAGGGCCCCCTCCAAAAATTTCCAGGGTCGGGCCCAAAAAAAAAAAAAAATTATTTTCTTAGAAAAGTAGGAATCTTTTTCCCCGATCATAAAGCCCCAAAAGTTTTAAAATTTGATGAAAAATTAAGGAATTTTGCTCTCAAAGTTCGGTCTCGGCAGTTTTCGCATTTGGGGATTTTGCCCCCTTTTAGCCCCCTTTTCCCGGCCAATTTCACTGAAAACTAGTCGCAAAAAACAGAATTTTTCGCTAAAACCCCTTTTGTCTACGAATGGTGCAAAAACCTCCATTATAAAAATTAAAACTATCCATACAGGGGGTAGAATTTAGCTTTTTCCCAAAATTTCCACAAATTTAAAAAGATGCCATTTCCCGAATAGGGTCCGAAAAACAAAAAGAATTCCGGGCCTAAAATAAATTTTCCCTCAGCCATTAGTCACGTTTTAAAGGCCCCTCTTATTTTTGGGCTTTCCACTTGTTTTTTATTCTCACAAAAAATGAAATTTACTGCATGCAACTACGATTAGTGAAAAAAATTTGGTATAAATATTTTTTGGTGCACTTGGGAAAAGAAATTAACCACCAGTTTGCGGATTGCACCCTTGGGCCCACGTTTTGCTTACTTTTGAAGTTTGGAAAAAATCGAACATTTCGCTACTTGAGCTCAATTTCAAGCACCTTCATTTAAAACCAGTAAAAAATCATCTCAATTTCTGAAATATGTCTTCCATTCTATAAAAGAGACCAAGAAAACTAAAAATACAAAAATAAATACCATACAAAATACACTGCAAAGCGCTAAATTTAAAAAAAAAAAAGGGTCAAAGTTTTTTTTTCTCATTATGCACTTTGGCGCGGGTTTTTTTTAGACTGTGCACACTGCCACATAGACCCATTCTTTCAATGAAGGCCTACCAGCTTTTCTCCCACAGATTTGGGGCCGCTAGAATTTATATATAGTACGTCAAAAACCCCTACCAAAAGACGTACAGTACGCCCAAAAAAACCCTCAAAGGGTTAAAGACTGATATTGTGTTAAAGATATTATGTTGTTTTTGGGCCTGAGAAGGCCTTGATTGTTCCTGTGTAAAAAATACAGAAACTGTTTAATCTTTAAGTCATTAAATAAAAAGGTTGGTATCAGATCAGTGTTTGTAATCTAAGTTTTTAGTGAATCATAGTTAAAATTAATAAAAAATAAAGAAAATTCTAAACAAAAAAAAAAAAGCCCCGAATTATTTAACAAATGAAAAAAATGACTAAGGTTTTTTTAAAGCTAAAATAAAGGAGACAATAAAAAAGGGGACTAAAAAAATTTGGGGTGAACAAATAAAGATGATCAAATAAGGGAGCTTGGGGGAATAATAGTAGTATACTTTAAAAGGTAATTCTTTAAAGTTAGAATTAATATAAAATTATAATAAAAAGGGACAATATAATTGGGTGAACAATAAGTGGTAATCAAAAAATAGCTTTGGGTATAAGGGCAAATAGTGAACTTATTAACTTTAGCACCTTTAAATGCCCCTTGATTAGTTTAACAATTGCGAATGTATGATCTAAGTTTATAAAAGCAAAAATAAAGGACAAAAAAATATATAAGGGACAAACAATTAATAATGGTAAACAAGTTAAAGGACAGAACACTATGAAATAATTTGGTTTAGAGTAAGATCGTTTTGTAAATTAAAAAGTGAGCAGTTTTATTGCACAATAAAAAGAAAAAAAAAAAATGGGTATTTTATACACTTTTAAAAGTCATTCTATTTTGTTCCAACCCTTTCTACAGCCCCAAACCACCTCCGTTGCAAATTCCCCAATATGTTTCACACCCTAAAAAAAGTGTTGGTAAACATACTCTCAAAATTTCCCCCTTTTTTTTTTCCCAGGGACAAAGCTTTTTTTTCTCCAAATCACTTCTTGATTCACCCATTTTTCATAACCCTCTGCGACCGTCCACTCCTAAAGTCTGAATGCATTCACCCCCCATCCTCCCTCCAAACTATTCCAACTTTCATCACTTATTTTTTTTGTTATCCTCATCACCTTACTCTTTCCTAAATCGCTCTTAAT